CATATATTTCTCTGAAATCTGCAATTCATAGAAATAGAAGTTGTGTTATCCTCAAATTACATCACTATGTCCAATAAATTACACCGAAAATTATTATAAATATAATAATAAGACAATGTAAATATAGCTATAAGACGGTTTAAATGCAAGAGAAAAATTCAGTTAACAAGAGGGATCAAAACAATTGAATGTCACCTAAACAAATCCTTTAATTTAATTGTTAAACGAGACAGGTGGCTGATGTGACTTGGAATGGCCAAATTGCCCCTTTGATATTCGCTAGCCACCCAAGCGGCCAATTATAATAACTTTTGTTAACCTAAAACAATGGTTATAGTGCTCCAACTCTACATCCTACTTCTTCTTTTATGTGTTTTATTACTTTTTGGTCCATTGCTGAGCTTATCAATGATGGTGATGGGTCATAGGTGCGGATCAAGCAGAGGAATAAACCAGCACTGCTGTTTAACTAACCAATATTCTGAGGCAAACTAAGCCGCTTAAAACACATGCTTAGGCGCTTGATTCTTTATTGTAGTACGACTTCTTTTTTCCTTCCAGCTTCATGGACCAGGCAAACGAAAGAGCAGGTCTCCATGCCGTAGCTTAGATTAAAATAGATGAGGCCCCAATGATTTGTTTGGACACAACGCTCAACTGGCACTAACAAACTGGCCAAATGGGCGGGGTTCAAAAGAAGCAGAGAATCGGTTCATCGAAAACGTGTGTGGGATGCCATATCGGTCCATGGACTGACTGCCGGAGGACGGTCTCGGCTTCACCGATTGGATCATGGACACGCCTAACAAAGCGCACGAGGCACGATCAACTGAACCCAGCCATGCTTTCCCGGTCGATCTCGACGTGCGTGATGATGGCACGGCGGGCCTGGCAGCTGCCCAGATGCCACGCTGGACGACGGGGAGAGCTCGCTGGTGAGTGGTGACTGGTGAATTGAAAGCGAGCGAGCCCGTCGTCACTGGCCACACCGTTGTTTTCCCGGCTAGGTGCGGCGTACGATGGCGAGGTCACGGGGCTGGGGCTGTTGAACCGGGCCGGGCGTACAGTGCCGACCACGGGGACAGCGAGAGGATGGGAGGTGGCCATGAGATGGTGGTAGTAGAATTTGTCGTCGTGGAGGATGTTTGGTTCGAATCCGTGCTGGTTTTGATACGAATGCGAAGCGAAACCCGGTTTAGTACAGGAAGCTGGAAGCGTTTCCATGGGGACCAAGAAGTGGGATGGTGGCGTGGCTGGGTTGGCCGGATGGTTGCCTACCAGGCTCTGGCTGCCTGAAAGCAACAGATGGATGCGATGGTAGGAGGTGGGAGAGGGGGGCTGGCAGCGCCGCGGCTGCTGCGTCAGCCGTGCGACGAGTGACCGACGCGACTTCAGCGTCCGCACCGCTGCGTCCAGCCTGGTTCGATTCGACGGTGGTTCCGGAGTTGGCCTCGGCGCGATCTGTTTCTGGTAAAAAGGACCTGGAGATAGATCGACGGAGATTGCCTCGTCACTCGTCAGTTGGTTCCTGTACACGCGGATGTGTCACGCCACGCGACATGGGCCTCCTCTCCTCATCAGATGGCCGACCACAAGTCGCCAGTTCGTGAATGGATCCGCGAGGGAGGGAGGACCGGAGGAGTCGCGGCCTCGGTCTGACCCAACCCAATGCGCACACGCGTTGGCGTTGCGGTGGCGGCCTCCCTCCCCCTGCAACTTGCGAGACGAACTTTGCCTTGGGAACTGTAGCCGCGTAGCGTGCGTGCGAGCGCCGTCGCTGACGAACGGGACGAGATGCCGCCGGGCAATCCGAGATTCCATCAGTGGGGACGGCTGATCCCGCTCTCGCCGAGGCCCCGGCGGATAGCGAGGCCGACGCCGACGCGGGCGTGCTGTTCACGGCGACTGACGGATCCATCAAGCTGGCCTTCTTGGCAGGGCATATTCCGCGGCGATGCGCGAGCAACGTCAGGATTCCCCTGGCCCTGGCCTGGCGTCACGAGCTCGGGGTTCGGCAGATGGCCACCAAGTCGCGGATCCTACTCTACGTACAAGCCTTGCTTCGACGGCAGCTCGCGCTGTGGGTTCCTCCTATTGTGGTAGTACAATCCTATTCCCAATCCACTTGGACCACGATTTTGCCCAGTGGCTCAGCACGGCGGTGCATTTCCAGCCCAGCTTTCGCTTCGCTCTCGCTTTCAGTTTCAGTGGATCTTTTTTTATCCTTGTTCGTTTAGGATGTGTACCGTTTCTGCGAGGCATTGGAGCCGTCCTCTGCCTGCAAGTGGCTGGCAGCGGCCCCTGTAGTCCTGTAGCCGCTACTACATGGTTTCTCGTCCACCAGGTAGTACTAGTAGGAGAACTCGCTTTCAGTGGCGCAGCGCAGGGAAGGGGACAAGGCTTCGCCGTGCAAAGTTGACAGTTTCCTGCGCCACATCTGCGACTTGCAGCTCCACGGCATGTGCTCATAACTGATGGCTCATGTGCCTCTTCTCACAAGTCACAAGGAAACGAACAAACGCTGGCGTAAATGGAGCCTGCGCCGAACCTGCGTGAGTTATTGTTGTTTTCCGTGCGAGTTGCTGTCGACCCCGCGGCCCGCCTCACGGTGTTGGGCTCTTTCGCCCAAGTGGGCTAGTACGTAACCGGACAGCATTCGGCCTGCACACTACTTGCGCGACCTTTGAGGTCGCCTGAATTCTTTGTTTGAAAAAAAGGGGCCTTCTGTGTTTCTCTCTTCTGCTTTCTGTTCCTCAGGATTCGGAGGTGTTTTCGATCTTTGTGAGGCTGGTTTGTACGGAAATGCTTCTGGCAAACACGGGTGCGCAGAGATTGCAAATGACAACATCAGGCTGTAGGAATTGTTTACATAGGCTAACGTGCCTGTAATGTTTTAGCAAGATGAGAACAAGACTACCGTGTAGGGGTTCATTCTGCAATAGGGAGAGTATCTTTTCATGTTACAATTAAGCTGCTCCGCCCTGGTCGCCGAATGGTTTAGTGTAATAGTGTCTTTCTGATTCTTACCGCTTTTCATTTCTCTTCCGTTTGACCTTATGTGTTGCAAGCCGTGGCTTGCGTTCTGTAATTCTTGCTACCCTCCTAACGAAAAACGGGCTCAGTTGAGCGCGGTCGAGAAAAAAAAATTAAGCTGCTCCGCCCAAACGGAAGCTTCCGTTTTTCTTTACGAGTTCAGAAAGAAGTTGCTCTGCCTTGGCCTGACTGCTTCGAGATCCTTGCATTTCGTTCGAGCCAGATATCCCACATGAATTTGTCTAAAAAAAAGAATACCCCACGTGAATAGACTGAATAAGGAGTTCCGGACTTCCCCAGGAATCAGATCACGGAGGTTGGAATGGATGGATCCACGAAGAGCAGTGAAGAACATGCTAGATTGATCTTCACTGGTTGGTCCAACGGTCAATTGGGTTTTTAATCCGCGTTCTGATTAGAGGCGTCCAGCCGTTCTCCTCATTGATAGACTTGTAGGACCTCTAGGTGCAGATCAGTGAAGAAATTCTTTACTTAGATAAGCAGACTTGGTAATATACCTTGTCGAGTGCAGTCGTGGCCGTGGCGCCCTTCGCCAACAAGGTGGCCGCGACGTGTCAGTGCAGGGGAAGCCGCGCAGGCGCCCGCTAGGTCGTCGACGGTAGCAGCAGCGTAGGCGCGGACCAGTGTCGACGGTGAAGGCGGTGTGGACTTCCCGTCGCTTACAGCGCGTCCTTATAGATCGGGCTAGGGCTAGTAACCTCGGTGGGGCGCTGGCGGTTACGATGAACCTCGTACCTTGCGCCCTGGCCCCCACCTTCCTATTTATAGCGCTACGCGACGAGGGCCCATCAGCCAGAAGAACGGCTGGACGCCTCCGATCAGGGCGCGGATCAAGGGCCTAATTGGCCGTTGGGCCAGCTGGTGGAGATCAATCTAATATTCTCCCCCTTGATCTCACCTTAGGACTTAAACTTAACTTTATATTTTTCCCATTCTATCGCAGATAAGTGCATAGAGTGTGCCTTATCGTCACGGTAAGTTGTCATTAGATTAAACAGCTACAATGCACCTTTCTGTTTTGAAACAGATTCTCAACTAGGCCCTTAGTATCCAGAAATCATAGGCTTTCCCGTAAACCCATGTCGACTGTGTGTTCTCTGAACGCACTGGGTGGTTAGCCTTTGGTAAGCGGATCCGCAAGTCCTTGCTTGGTACTTATATGCTCAAATGCTTTCAAAATGATTATGGATTTTCTCCTTTACAACATATAACTTAATGTCAATGTGTTTGGCAGCACACTTGACCTGTTGTCTTAGGAGTTAACTACTTTAAATGGTTATTGCTATTGCCTACCATTGTTAAATCCGGGTACATATTCCCTTAACCACTTTTGCTTGTTCCTGAGGCCTCATGACAAGCTATACTATGGTATACATCATTGATGACACCACAACTGTTTCATTAGAGCCTTTTCACAATAATACTCCAACCGCAAGTGTTAGCAACTACTGTGGATGTCACTCCACGTCTCGCCAAAACTTAACAGAACATAGTCATGTATAGAATTCAAACAACTCAACGATTTGAATTGTTGTTCAGGGTTTGACATATTCAGACCCCCACCCCAAAGTAAACCTAGACTGCAAAGTGCAAACAGCAGAACTCATCATACAAGCGCCCATTGAGCGTGCATATAAATCTAGCAAAACTTCAACGCGTTGTCAGGCACATCATATATCATATACTTAATGACCAAATCATGCAAGTAAGGCTCCACATATTTGATCAAGGAAATAAATCTCAATTGGGAGTACAAATGTTATTCCAATAGCCAATCAAATGTTCAGATATACCTCACACATCAACAGATCAGAAGGCACAACAGTTGATGTTAAATCAGGAACCTAGCTCAGCTGGTAAAAGAACTGACACCACGATTCAGACAGACGCATCAAAGAGCCTAGGAGAAAATTGCCATAAATATCCAACTTTATAACTCCACTGCATCAATTACTCAATTGAATCCTTACATCAGGAATTTGCTGCACTCTCTCAGCGCCTTCTTCCAGGCACCATCTCTCTAATGCATCGCATCCACTTACAACCAATCGGGAGATGTTTCTTGGCAATATGACCACTGCACTTATTCTCAGATTTGGAGCGCCATCGGTTTCCAGACAATGAAGGGATTCTAGGTTGCACAGGCCTCTGGGAAGAACTGCAAGATCAGCACATTGACGTATCCTTAAAGTCCTGAGAGATTGCATCATCTGCACGGAAAATTGAGTGAGCCTGGGGCAAGAAATTATCTCCAGGGATTCCAGAGCCGAGAGGTTCTCGAAGCAAGAAGGAAATCGTCTTCCAGGGTAATTTTCGATGCGCAGATGCTTAAGGCTGGTATGTGGACAGAGTGCCTCAATGATCGTCTCACTGTTCTCTATGCCCTGCTGCTGCTCGTCCTTGCAGGTGTCCTCACTCCATTTCAGCATCAATTCGCGCAAGTACTCCTTCCGCGCAAATTGCCCTCCATGACACCATCATTAGTGGCAGCTTCCAAATTAAGAATACAAAGCTCTCCGCGGATCTTCAAATTCTTCAACTCATTAATGTTGCACTTGCCTCCATCCCTGGAGACCACAACAAATCTGGAAAGAGTTTGAAGTGACTGTAAACGGTCAATGCCACTTGGCATTGATCTAAAAGTAGTAACTCTATCCCAATCAATATGTAAACTAAGGTGCCGCAAGTTAACTAATCGGCTCAAGCCTGTAGGCAAATCCATGAGCCAATAGCAGTCCCTGAGGTCAAGTGTCTGCAAATTGAATAGGTTGCTGACTGTTTCTGGAAGAGTCTTTATCAGAGTATTCCGGAAGATTGAGGTATCTGAGGTGTATACAGAACCCAACAGAATCTGGCAGGAGGTCTAGCTCAGTGTAACTCAGGTCTAGTGCACGCAGACAAGTTAACTTCGAGAAAAGTGCTGATGGTACCTGATTCAAGGGTAGTTTCATTGTGGGGCATAATTTCAAGAGCCTCGAATTTTCATAGTGATAAATCTTGTCAAATGCAAGAGGCTCATCTTTCGGGCACAATATGGTTGTATAGCGGATCCACTCAGGATGGTCAACTACAGGTGAATTCTCAGTGCTGAGAGTTAGAGATTCATGTTTAGAAACAAGTTGTGCTAGCTCAAGCATCAAACTTGGCACTCTAAACTTTTGATTAGGGAAGTTGTGGGATGTTTCAAAGAATGACCTCCATAGGAGCTCATCAAAACATCTTCCTGCTTCCATCTCAACCCTTTTCCTTCCATTACTCTTAACAAGACCGTCAGCTATCCAGAGTCTAACCAGCTCATCCTTCTCAAACTCAACACCAGGAGGAAGTATTGAACAGAAGGCAAAACATTGTTTGAGATGATACGACAAGTGCTGATAACTTATCTGCAAACTTGGTAATATATTGTTTGTGTTTTTGTCATCTTCAAGAATCTGCATTTCACCTAGTATGCTTTCCCACTGTTCTTTGTCTCCATGAGTGTCGGACAATAGCACCCCAAGAGATTTAGCAGCTAATGGGGAGCCTTGGCAGTTGGCAGCAATCCTCCGCCCAATGGATTCCAGACCATGCTGATCTCTGCTGCTCCACCCCAAGAACGCATAGAGTTTGAGGATTTGCCAGCATTCTTCATCTTCCAAGCGCTCCAAATGGATGTTTAGAATGGGGGAACTCATCCTAGACACCCTTTCGTGTTGAGTAGTGATCAGAACCTTGCTTCCGTCCGCTCCACCAGTCAATGAGGGCCTCAGAAATTCCCAGAACTGAAAACCCTCTGCCCATAGGTTATCAATCACCAGCAAGAAGTGCTTTTTATGTAGGTGGTCGTGCAGCTGCTGCTGCAATATGTCCAAGCTTAGAAGTTCACATTTTTGACTGGTCACAGCTTCAATGATCGTTTTGGTGGCCTTCCTCACATCACACCTATCTGGTAACCAAACCCAGATCTTGTCAGTGAAGAAGTTTTGTACCTCAGGATCTTTGTAAACCAACTGTGCCAGTGCTGTCTTCCCAATGCCTGCCGTTCCCCAGATGGAAATCACCTCCATTTCTGCACTGTCAGAAACCAGAGCACGGACAATCTGCTCCATCTCTTCGTTGCGGCCAATGGGCCTCTCGTCACGATGCGCGGCAGATTCAAGGAACCGCGGGCGCTGCATCGGCTGAGCCGCCGTCCTACTCCCGTCTCCAGCTTGCAACCTGTACCTTTTCCTGCCCCCGTTGATCTCGTCGAGGCGTTCGTTGATCTTGGCGATCTTCTCATCCAGCTCCCACCGCTGCCGCGGGCCGAGCTCGACGCTGGGCCAGAGCCGCTTCCGCTTCCGCGACTGCTCGGCCGCCGCTAGCCTGGACACGGCCGTGATGGTGCCCAGGCTGTCGAGCAGGGCGTCGACGTCGAAGGCGGCGGCCCTGAGCTCCCGGAGCCAGAGCCTGACGGAGTCGTGGTCGACGAAGCGGCGCTGCTCGGCGTCCTCGAGCACGGCGCGGATGCGTTCCTTGGTGCGCCGCAGCTTGTCGGCCTCCTCCTCGACGTTCCACAGGCGGGCGCCCCGGGAGAAGAGAGCGTCGATTACCGCGCCGCCGATTTTATCCGGGAGACCGAGCGCCGTGAAGATGCTCTTCAGCGGTCGGTCCCCCAGCATGTTACTCAGCCGATCCATGGACGACGAGGTGCCGTGAGCCAAGAAGGGGGGAGTTGACTTGTTTTGGGAACGGGGCGGAACGAAAGCAGAGATCCTGAGCTGTGAAGAGATCCGGCGAATGGAGAGCTCGCTTCTTGTAGAGTGGCCGCGAGTTTTTTGCTTGGGATTGGATGGAAAGTTCACTGGCCGATTCCAGGAAGGATCCTGGCAATGGCGACGATGGGTAGGAGGTGGGGAAAGGAGCGCAGTAGCAGCCAGCTGCTCTCGGGCAAATGAACGAACGCCTCGCGGCCGGAGTGGGGTGAGGTCGGGCGAGAACCTTACCTGAACTAACACAGTCGGTCAACGTCAACTTGGGCTCATTATTTGATTTTCATATTTTATTTACCTACTAGCAATTGTTATAAAAAATTTCATATTATGTACACAGGACCTTCTTGCTGATACCATTGCCAATAACACTGCAATGCCAATGTTTGCAAATGAAGTGCATGGCCAATCTTCAAGTGGGAATTCTTTGTGTGCCATTAAAAAAAGATCGCAATGTCCTGTATGTCTCTGGAAAAGTTCAGCGGTCTTCAGCGTCACTGCTCCAACTTTTTTATGCCCTCCATGCCACTGCCGCCAGTTTGGGTTCTAACGCCGTCAAACTGCAGGGGTAAAAAGTCGAAAATACTCTTAAGTCTAAATATATCATTAATTTTTTAAGCATCTTAACGACTTCAAATGAAAAAACTCAAAACTAGAAAGTTGTAGATGTCGTCGAGATCTATAATTTTTATATAAAAATTATTTTTATTTAATTTCGCAAAAAAATATGATTTGATATGATTAATATATCTTAGAAAAATCATATCTTTTTTTTTTTGCGAAATTAAATGAAAATAATTTTTATATAAAAATTATAGATCTCGACGAGATCTACAATTTTCTAGTTTTGAGTTTTTTTATTTGAAGTCGTTAAGATGCTCAAAAAAAATTAATGACATATTTAGACTTAAGGGTATTTTCGACTTTTCACCCCTGCAGTTTAACGGCGTTAGAGCCCAAACTGACGGCAGTGGCATGGAGGGCACAAAAAAATTGGAGAAGCGGCGCTGAAGACCGCTGAACTTTTTCAGAGACACGCAGAGCATTGCGATTTTTTTTAATGCCACGCAAGGAATTCTCCCAATCTTCAACCATGGCTACTCCGTTTATCCAAGGCGGACAAGCTAATGCCACAATGCTGTTGTTTGCAAGTGATATGCATGGGTCATCTTCGAACATTTCAGTTCCTTTATTCCAAGGTGGACTTACTGATCTTCTGATTGGAGTTGAACAAGATGCCACATTGTCCAAATCTGCTAGAAAGTTACACTTCAATGAAAAATAATCATTTTGGGTCACTGAATTGTACGTATCATTTTACTTCCGGTTTGAATTAATAGCACTATGTAAGACTTAGCTGCATTCTATTTGAATGCAGTTTATTTTATTTTGGCATACAAACATTCAGTCATCAACGCTTTGGTCTTGTCAATGCAAATGTTTGAATTTCTACACTAAGTGCAACATCTAGATGATGTGTTTGAGAAGATCCTCTCTGTTCGATTTCAAATATAGTAATACTTACTGATACAAGGTTATTGCAGACAATGAGCTGCTTATCCTTTTTCTGCTAAGAAAAAAAGAGCTTATCCATTTCAGGCTGTGGCATACAAACATTCAGTCATCAACGCTTTGTAGTTGTCAACACAGATGTACACTCTGTTCGCTTTGCATTTCATATAACATGCTTGTATTCAGGAGAACCATATATATCTTTCAAATAAGAAAGCACATTGTACATATTACAATTGGGCCTGAGTTTACCACTACAATTCAGTTGGTGTTTCAACAAATTGAGCCATATAGGTGAGATGCACCATTCTTCAGATAAGATATCTTCCTGACTCCCTAGAAACAAAATGAAAAGTTCAGGCTGCTGCATCAAACACCATCACGGTGATTAAAACATTGGCAAAATGAATGTGACTTGGGACAACAGAATCGAAACCTTTACATGTCAAACATTCCGATGGCTCATCAGATATCCACAAGCAGCCTATTCCTATTCCGAAACATAGTACACCTGATTGGGTGATTCGGGATCGGCAACAGTTTCCGAGTCGAACCAGGGAACCATCAATTTTCCGGCCACGCCTAGTATATACATGATGCCATCGATCTCGTCCGCTTCCTCGATCCATCATCCGCGCACTCGATCCGTTCAAGCAAGATGGATCGTCGTCTTCCCGTCGGCGTCCCGGCGGTTCGTCTCGCCAGCCGCTTGCAGGTCGCCACCTTCTTCGCCACAGACTCGACGACATCGTCGTCGAACCGCAGCGGTCGACAACAAGCAGGTTCACGACGACACCAACCCCCCGCACTGGCGGCGGACGTGAGGATCGTCATCCGGAGGCACTTCCCCGTCGTCAGCCCCGGCGGCGGCACCCGCATCGCTGTGAAAGTGGCCGAGGACATCGCCCTCCGCAGGCGGCCCTCGCGCAAGCTGCGCGGGGCCGAGAGCGTGGAGAGAGCTCTGGCGGAGGAGGTGCTCCCGCTGGTCGCGCACCCGTTCGACCGCGGCGCCGTGGTCGCGTCCCGGAAGCAGATATGCGCGCACGTGGCCGCGGCCTGCGCCGACACGCGCATCGCCCGGGGCGGCGCCCGTGTCCTTGTTCTGATCGATACCTTCGCGTGCCCCGTGGTGTTCCGCCGCCTTCCGCTGCCTCCCAAGCCGACGAAGGCTGTTGTTGCTTGTGCGCCGAAGAACTTCGTCGTCACGAGTGTCAAACCTTGCATGGAAGAACTAGAGAGCGCTGTGCCTGTACCGGAAAAGAAGCCCGTCGGCGTCATCGGAGATCAGCGGCCAAAGCCGGTGGTGGAGGAGAGGTACAATGGTTGGGTACCGTGGTAGGATGGACAGCTTCTACCCTACCTCTCGAAGTTGCTAGGCAGGCACGCAGTTGACGGGCACTGCCGCTTGTGAGTTGTGAACGCATATGCCTGCGCCCAGGAATTATTCCCTTTTTTGAGGGACATGTATTACTGTCAATTAGTAAGAAGTTTTTGAATTATAAACAATGCTTGCAAGGTTTATGAATAGTGAACGGTCTGAAGTAATTTAGACTAGCTAATTTGTATTTATGGAAATTCAGTTTCGTGAATTGCCCGCATCTCGTTTTTAGCTTCATTGTCCTGTTTGATACTATATGCGGTCTCTTTATGCTTGTTTTTTCCCTGAAGCCCGAACACACAAGGGAACTGCACAATACATTAACAAGGAGTACTGTTATGCTCGCACCACGTGAAACTATAGAAAATGGTCACTAACCACCAAAATTAAGGGTTTGCTTGGATCAGCGAGGGCTAATATCAATTATGTTGTCTGAGATCGATGTCGGCTTTTGTTGATCAGAGAGAGTACTATTGGCATGTCATCCTAAAACCACCCGCTTATCCCTATGTTGCCTACAATCCATAGCTAGTTCCATAGTGCATATCCAGCAATGACAAAGCTAAAGAAAATTGAAGAGATGCACTTGTTCTATAGGTGCATACACTTGTGTTATGAAAAATACATATGTGGTAGATTCGCCCCTGGTAAGTGTATTGATCTCTAGTGACAATGGAAGCTAGTGTATTACTTCCTATGTTTCTAGACACGATGTATTCTAAAATAGTGGGGTAAGTCATGTAATTTGGAATTTAACCAAATTTGTATAAAAATAATAATAACTATCATACTAAAGCCTTGTTCGCTTGTCTTATAATCCGTACTTTTCAGCTTGTTTTTTTAGCCGGAACAGTATTTTTCTCTCACAACAAATCAGCCGGAACAGTGTTTCGGCTTATTTTTTCAGCGAAGCGAACATGGCCTAAATATGTATCGAAGTGTTATACTGTTTTCTATAAATTTAGTTAAATTTAAGATAGTTCGACTTTGACCCAATTTAGAACTGCATCCACTTTTTGAGACCGAGACTTAACTAGAGCCCAGCAAAGTACTACTACATATACCCCATCCATTTTTATACATCTGATATTTAGAGCAAGCTACTTAGTTCAAAAAAAAAAATTACCATCCTAAATGTCTTATATTTAGAAACAGAGGTGATAGTGATACGGAGTTGTCAGCAGCATATTGACCTATGTAAAAGAAACAAAAGCAGATGGAGATGTCAATGGCTATATATCTCTTTTTTTCTCGTGAAAAAGCAAACCTATGCATGTTGAACCCTCATCGAAAGAAACGCGGGTGGGCAAAAACTACAGAAAGACAACAAGAATTATTCAAACTGCTACATCACCTTGCCCATTACTACTATCATAGCAATAATAAATACTCCCTCCTATTGGAAAAAATACAATTTTAATATAGTATCAAATCAGATTTTAAGTTTGATCACATTTATATAAAAAATGTCATACCAAATAAGTGCTACTAGATTCGCCGTGAGATACATTTCATCATGTTTTATGTTATAAATATAGACACTCAGTTTTATAAACTTGCTTTAAAAATTGGAACAGAGATAGAGGTAGAATTGCATCTTTCTCCAGACGAATGTAGAGTAGATTGTTTAAATACTAGAGTTCTACCTTGATAGCTGGTTGGGGGGCGTCATGGCTCACCAGATTAGTGCGATAGCCAACGGACACGACCACCACCACCTCTCATACAACCATGGTAGCCTGGCGCGGAGGGGAAAGGGAAAGAGGATTGAGGTTCTCTCCCCTTTCTTTGAGGTATTGATTGAGAATGATCTCTTAGGGCGCTTGTCAGAAGCGCGTTATTTGTATGGTTAAACTTTTCTTAAATACAATGATATGTAAATCTTTTACATATTCGAGAAAAAAAAATTTCACATGAAAAAATCAGGGAAAAAAGAAGTAAAAAGACGATCAGTTGGAGCTAGGATTTTGTAACTCAACCCTATTTATGCAAGAACAGAAAAACAATCTCTTTTCTTAATCTGGCATAGTTGCTCTAA